GCTTACTTGCCAAGTTGAAGGTCACCTTCCGGGTGGAGGATGCTGCCTTGCGTTGGATATCCTCGTATCTGTCTGCTCGTTCTCAGGCTGTGTGTGTTCGCTTGTTCTATTTCTTGTCTGATCCCCTCCCTGTAACGTCTGGAGTGCCCCAAGGTTCCATTCTGGGTCCTTTGTTATTCTTGCTTTACGTTAATGACCTACCTTCAATTGTCCCCGATGTTAGTTTGTATGCGGATGACCCTGGCCTTATCTGTTCTGATTCCTCCCCTGCACAATTACTCCTTACCATGCAGCATCGCATCAACAGCACTGTCATGTGGATGCAAACGTGGAAACCCCAGCCCAATTTAGGCAAGACAGAAGCCATGTATACTTCTTCATCCCCTACTGATCAACCATTATTCTTCCCTGACTCGACTATGCCTATCCGTGTTGTTACTCAGCACAAACATCTAGGTGTGATGTTTGACTGCAAACTCTCTTGGGCTGCACATGTCAACTGTGTATGCAATCGAGCCAGTTCAGCCTTAGGGGTACTACAACCACATTGCACTCATTTGCCCATCCAGTGTAAACTATTATTTTATCAGTGCTATATTCTCCCTATATTCGACTATTGCGATACCGCTTGGTGTGGCCTTTCTGACACAACTCTGAGCCAATTAGAAGTCCACCATAGATTTATACTTAAAATTCTTTACAACAAGGATCGATGTTTTCCTTCGGATGCCCTTTATCGACTTGCACACACTTCTCCTCTCTCCGTTCGTCATAAGCACCATCTCTGTACACTGGTTCATAAGATATTTCTTCATAAAACCCCTTCACACATGATGAAGTACAATTGGTTTTCGACAAGCTCAACCCGTAACGCGCTCACCCTGCCTCTTGTTAAGTCAGCCCAGTATCTAAAGTCCCCTTTGTTTTCCGGCTACTCTCATTGGTTATCATTACCATACGGTCTGAAAACTTGTTCTTCTATTGGTCAGTTTAAAGATCTACTATCACAACTGAACTAGACGCAATAATTATCATCGAAGAACATTCTCGAATACCTGGGTGATGCACGAATTTTGATAGTGCTCACTTCCGTTAATCGTTTTTCTTTGTAATTTTCCATTCATTTTCTGCTTTAATTCATATTTGCTTTGTTTTCCTAGCTTACTATTGCTGTGGCTGGCTCAACGCCCTTGTCTCAGGGGATTCTGTCCCTGCATTAGCTATGCTTCTCACGTGCTATGAGATTGTGTCTAATAATAATAATAACATAAAAGTGGAGTAGGTGCTACAGCTGATCATTTTATCGCAGGTTGTAAAAAAAAAAGAAAAAAGTAAATTATCGTATCCGTTCCCGAAGGGAACTCACGACGGCCGCTAACACCCGATAAACCCTAGCGGCAGATGCAGCGCCTAACGGTGGGATCGCAGGTTGTGGGACTAAACTAATACCAGTATGACGAATACTGTGGCCAGTAAGTATGCGAAGTGTATCGGGGATGAATGCAGGGTGATAGTGCTGGTTCGAATTAGGCCTTGACGGATTATCCCAGCATAATATTTTGCATAATTCCTACCAAAATAGAATAGTTGCATAATTCGAGGCAAATTGCATACGAATCGCATAATTGGACAAATCCGCCTGTTCCCATCAAATTCCCTACAGTTGTACATGTTCTACAAGTACAAGTACAAGTAGATCCACCAGAAAGTCGTAGTTTTACGACTCCCTTGATAACATGTCCAGTCCATTACAATCAGTGACGGTCTTAGCTGCATGTACATGTACATGTAGGTCGGACGGTGCGTGGACGCCGTTGAACTTTTGCTACTACACTAAAACGCCCTCTTCAAAAAAATTCTCCTGTTCTTTTGCACAGAACCATCATTGTACATTAGCAGCATATGTGAGCATAATGCGGCATAATATGATTACTTTTAGCATAAAAATAGCATAATTCTGCAATTTTTTGAGCAATGCGAAAAGCATAATTTCACGAAAATATTAGCATAATCCGTCAAGGCCTAGTTCGAATCCCAGGTTATGTCTAAAACAAAAAATAGAAACTTATAAGAATTTATAACATCCCTATGCTTTTTTTGTCTAGATCATCAAGGCAAAAAAGCATAGCGTAGGCCCCTGAGCTTCCAAGCTCTCTCGTTTTTCATCGAAAGTTCACGAGAAGAAAACAACCCATTCGTTTATTACGCTCCTGCTAGTAGCAGTTAAGCATTCTTGTGTGGGGTAGTACCTTTGCTGTTTGCTTTCCTGACGTGTCAGTTTGAGCACTCTGACAAGTTACGTTCCTGCTTGGTTTAAATCTGGCTTGGAAACTATTTTTTTTCATTGTCACCAGGTTCGGGCTCATTTCCTCTGTGCTGCACCGATGAGTCCACAAAGGACGAAACAGTTCTGTCCGCAGATTAAGTAACAATCCATTCATAAAACCTTTTTATCAATTTTTGCTCGAAAGTACAAATAGGATATCACGAAGTTAGGGAGGGTTCCTCTCCAGAGATACGAGTAACATTTTCAAACTTCATCTCCGCGTAATTAATCACCACACATCTATCCAAGAACGGAATACCTCGTTATGGTTTGGTGAATGTGAACCAAGAGCGCAGTGCGGATAGGTGACGAATTTCAATTTATTTTCAAATGGCAGAGTTCGTCGCAACTTCTGAGTTATCTTCACCTTGCCGTTTAAGTGGAAGTACTAGTAGTAGTAGTATTTTATTTGGGTATACCCAACAGCCTGGCAACAGGCCTATAGCCTTCTTACAGAGTGCCCAAGGAAAAATTGTGAGCAGCTAGCGCGAAAAGCAGGCAAGGAAGGCTGAGATCGTATGATCGCTGGTAATGCACGAAGAGCGGTCAGCACCAAGAAATGAGAGACTGTAGAGGCCTGGCCGGGACATGAATAGGGTGAGAAAGATACTACTGAATGTTTTGCCTCTGGTCTGGGAGGTAGTGGGGGAAGCATCAATTCGGGTCATGAAGATTTGTGAGGTGAGGAGACTGCCAAGGGACCTGATGCACCGGAAAAAAATGAACAGCTTCAAATTAATCATATCTGACTAATGTATGGTGTAACCTTCACATTCGTACACGCTACATTTATCTGTGGAAGCTTGCGTAATGCAAGAGTGACTCTAGTAAAGGCCCTGCAGTGAGAGTCGTCACAGACTGGAAAGAAAATCACATCCATTTTGAGCTAAGCAGGAGGAGTGTTTGCTGGAGACCCAAAAACGCGACACAGGAGAACAAGACACGGAACGTGAGTTTTATTCCCGTAGCTATGCAGAGGACGTTACTTCAGTAACGTCGGGCGCTAGCCAGGATCCACACTTTTTTCTTTTCTTTTTTACAGTTTGGAACGCGAATACAGTCTAATATGGAAAACCGAGAAATCATAACAAACCGAAAACAGCCTGATAATAATACCAAAAGCAAATGCAAAATGACCACTGCCTCAGCTGCAACAAGCGAAGCAGGGGAGTTTGAGCCAACAGGGGCGCGCAGAGTGCGGGATCCACGGAGGCACATCACACTAGCACGGAGGAGGGCAAAGCTGAGTCTACAGTGGACCCATGCCATGACGGTGCTGTAAGGCTCGCTGGTTTTATCAGCAAGCAGGAAGGTAATCCTCTTGCAGAGTGCATTGCAATGCCGACTCATCCAACCCGTTGTGGCAAAGACTGCTGGAACAGCCGATGCATGTTCGATATCACGCACACTTTGCTCATAATCCCAGCGCTTCTCCTTCTCCTGCCGAGTGTAGGTGGAGGCCAGTGGAGTGGCTCGATTTGAGGTCGCACACGGGTTAAACACCCTGACATCAATAAACGTGCGCTTAAATCGGCCACCCCAAAGGACACTGGAAGCTATATCCAGGCGGACCTATTCCTGAACATTGGCGGAGCGAATGCGAAATTGCTCTCCGGTTACTGGGTGGAGGTGAGACTCCACTGCCACATTGTACGCCACCTTCTTCAACAAAGTTGCGGTGATGTCACGCACGTCATTGTGGCGGATGGAAGGGAACCCACCTGTGGGGCATGACCCCCCCCCCCCAGGGTCCACACAGCTTTAATTTGGTATTTGTTTGTTTGTTTGTGTCATGCCTGGCTCTATCCCGTATCTGTCCCGTAACGTACCATACCATCAAAGCCACAATATTCAAGTAGGGCTTTCAAATGCAAGATCATAACGTGAAGCAACTGGGAGGAATTAGTTTGTATGCGAAGTGTATCGGGGGATACACGCAGGGCGATAGTGCGGGTTCGAATCCCAGGTTATAGGAGAAACGAAAATTTTAAAACATTCCTCTGCTCCTTTTGCCTAGGTCACGAAGGCAAAAAAAAAACTTAGAGCCCTGAACTTCGAACCTCTCGTGTATAATGAAGATTTTCCATGAGACTCAGCCAGGCAGAGTTTTCGCATCCACACGAGTGTCAAAAACTCTCCAGGATCAAGCCGCAGATCAGACCGACCATCAAGTAGTCAATGACCGAAAATCCCATTTGCTGCATCCATGTTTTCCTTGTGCCTGGCTATGAGTTACCAAATAACTTTATGGTGAACCACACTTCCCCCATCCGATATACATGTACTTGTACTTGTATGTTTTCATTGCCTACGTTTCATTCAGTATTTTAACGGTCCTTTGAAAGGAAAAGAAAGGACATCACGGCAGTGTCTAGAAAGAGTAGATAACGTAGAAGGTAAGTGAAACGGTCTCGCTCTGCAGTAGAGGTGTAAGGGGAATGAAATTCGGAAAACTTGGCCTGTGGTACTTTTTGGTTTTGTTGATGTCGTTTCTTTTCCTTTCAAGGAATCCTGATCCTGGCGTACTTTGTGTGTGCAGACGCCAACAATATCAAGCTGGCCTGAGTAGCACGGCCCCTCCACCACTACCCGCATTTGATAGGGAGCATAGTGGACGTAACCCTGCTAACTTAGAAACATTGTTGAGTCACACCTACATTACAGCGTCACTTACCTTAAACTGAAGCACCATAGTGCTCGTCTCTACTGGTTGCAACACTGTTGAAAACCAGCACTGGGAAATGTTCCCAATAACAATGGTAAATTCAAATCCGGCCAACAAAACCCTATCGGAGACAACAGAAGGATAGGAACCATCGAGTTACCTTGAATCAATCACCATTCACCAAACAAAACTAACCAAATGTTTCCACATACCAGCTGTTGGTGTATATTCCAAGATCAATCGGGTGTAGCACAAGGATCACGATAAGGTTCGCTTGCCTTGCGAAAATGAGCGCTGCTTCTGGGAGCAAAGCCCTCAATGAAACAAATAAATTACTATTTGCTCGCTTTCTGCTTTGACTCTCTGCAGGCATATGCAAAACACACGCACGAGGAGTGCCGTGATATCAGTCTATGGTACTCCGTAGAAGCTCAGTTGGCTGCTGCACGTAGATATCCTTTGCTGACTTACTAACACAAGCCTAAGCAGTGGCGGATCCAGCAGGGGTTCCAGGGGTTCCACGGAATCCCCTAAATGTTGTAAATGTACAACTGGTAACCAGATGCGTGTATAATAACACCACGTTCTATACTAGCATAGTCCAAGGTGTTGGTGAGAAAAATTTCCATCGTCGCAGTGGCGGATCCAGGAGGGGTTCCACGGGACCCCTGAATTTCGTAACTGTACAACTGGTAACCAGATGCGTGTCCATGTACATGTATCAGCTATTCAGTTTTGACTATACTGGACCCCCCCCCCCTTTATACCTCACTCCATAATAACCCACATATAATTGGCCGTCTACATAAGTGGTGAATATGTATAGAATAAACACCGATGTCGTAGTGTTTATGGGAATATAAACCCGGCTATAAAAACCGAGGCGTGGCCGAGGTTTTTTTAGACAGTGTTTATATTCCCAAAAACACAAGACAGAGGTGTTTATTTTATTTAAACCTAGCTTCGTTTTTGGCCTGAAATTATTATTATTATTATTTTCACTAGTTTGAGGGAAAGAGACAAACGGGAAAAATCTGAAGAAAAAATTGACTGTCACCACCAGGACTCGAACCAGGGACCCTCGCTTGTAGCTAGCGATGCTCTAACCACTGAGCTATGGTGTAGTCGTCATCCCAGCAGAGACTGTTCAACATTTTCTTCAGACTTCGTAGCTCACACCTCTTGTGAATCCACACAGGCGGGTGGGACGCAGCCCTCACTGTACCCACACACTTCACGTACACTCTAGCACGCGGGGAGCCCCAAGTCATAAAATCTTCACTAGTTTGAGGGAAAACGACAAACGGGAAAAGTCTGAAGAAAAAATTGACTGTCACCACCAGGACTCGAACCAGGGACCCTCGCTTGTAGCCAGCGATGCTCTAACCACTGAGCTATGGTGTAGTCGTCATCCCAGCAGAGACTGTTCAACATTTTCTTCAGACTTCGTAGCTCACACTTCCTGTGAATCCACACAGGCTGGTGGGACGCAGCCCTCACTGTACCCACCCACTTCACGTACACTCTAGCACGCGGGGAGCCCCAAGTCATAAAATCTTCACTAGTTTGAGGGAAAGAGACAAACGGGAAAAATCTGAAGAAAAAATTGACTGTCACCACCTAGACTCGAACCAGGGACCCTTGCTTGTAGCTAGCGATGCTCTAACCACTGCGCTATGGTGTAGTCGTCATCCCAGCAGAGACTGTTGAACATTTTCTTCAGACTTCGTAGCTCACACTTCCTGTGAATCCACATATGCGGGTGGGACGCAGCCCTCACTGTTCCCACACACTTCACGTACACTCTAGCACGCGGGGAGCCCCAGGTCATAAAATCTTCACTAGTTTGAGGGAAAGAGACAAACGGGTTATTATTAGTATATGCATTTCCGCGTTGAAGTGAAGCAGCAGTATGCTGCGTCCACAGCTTCGCTTATGCAGAATGGCTTGGATGAGAGGAGAGGGGAGAGAAAGCAACGAGGCAACCAACATCTATGAAATAGCCTCAAATAGGTCAAAATAACATAAAGAGAACGAACCTACATAATGCATGATTGCACAAGAATGAAGACGACAAAATATAATGGCCATAATCATTGTGGAGATCTGTCGACAATGTAACGAAACATAAAACTCAGTTACTCAATACAGGTTCCACTAAATTACAAGAGAACAACGCTAAAACATTAGTGTTGCAAACCAACAGATCTCAATTGGGAAAGGCCTTCGCGCTTATGGCATTGTATTCGTTGCAATGTTGTATTTCGACTCCGCCGTACCTGTAATGTTGCTGCATGGCATACGCTATATGCGCTGTGTGCGTTTTGCTGTATACGCTGTTATGTCCAGTTTTATATGCGTATGTTTTGCATGTACGCTGTTTTTGCATGCTATAAATAGCTGGTGTTATTAGTGTTCATTATTAATTATACGATGAAGTGAAATATACTGTGTAAAGGAAAAGAGTTGTCCTCGTGCCGTGTGGTCGTACGATCCTGACAATTAAGCGTATGCCATGCAGCAACATCAGCGGTACGGCGGAGTCAAAATACATCATTGCAACGAATACAATGCCATAAGCGCGAAGGCCTTTCCCAATTGAGATCTGGTGGTTTGCAACATTCTCTCCACCAAAGGGCTTCTCACCGCCGTACAACAATGCACACAAGTCAAAAGCGATCCGGGGCTCTGACTTCGCGCCCAGAACGCGTCATCTCCTGCTGCCGTTGTGGTGGTAACGGTGCTGACGGTTCGTACGCTGGCTGCTGAGGGACGATAGCAGGTTGAGCGGTATCGGCAAGCCCAGGAGCCACGTCCTGTGACGATACTTCTAATGGCACTAACCTTTGGATCGGCCTCAACAGGGTACTGGTACTCAACCTAACCTTGGCAACACGACGCTTACCATCTCGACCAGGGAATAACTCGATGATCCGTCCCAAACGCCAGAACTGTTTGCGCTTGGTATCATCGAGAACAAAGACAACATCACCCACAGCTAAAGGGCGCGACATGGTCTGTTGGTGCTTGTTCAGCTGACTTAGGTACTCCACCTCCCAACGATTCTTGACATGCTTCAGTGTCCGCCTGAGGTAGCGCAATCTCGATGACATCTGCGCAGCGTCCAGGGTACCTGCTGGCTTCTCTGACGACATCCAGATGTTACCGATCATCATTGCAGGGGTTACTGGTGGCTCATCCAGGCTATCAGACACATAAGTTAGCGGACGACTATTCACCACTGCTTCAACCTCATCCAAGAGGGTCTCAAGCTCCTGGACCTTCAGACACGCTGTTCCCATTACCTTTTTCAAGGCACTCTTCACTGTACCAACCATTCGCTCATAGAAGCCTCCATGACATGGTGCAGCTGGAGGATTAAACATCCATGGCAAACTCAGTTTGTCAGATGCCGCCTTGAACGTTGTAGCGTTGTCAGACCTGATCCGAGACGGCAAACTACGTCTCGCGACAAACTTCCAAAATGCTATCAAGAATGACTCAGTACTTAAACCATCGACCACCTCCAAGTGAACTGCTCTGGTGGTGGCACACACAAACAATGCTATCCATACCTTCGGAGATGACTCGCCACTGTGCACGTACAACGGACCAGCATAGTCGATGCCGGTAGTTGCGAACGGCCTCTCGTGCACAACTAGGTCTTCTGGCAGCGGCGGGCAGACTTCTGAGGCAGCCTTAGCCTTGTAGCGGCGGCATGTAACACATCGCTGAGTAATGTTGCGTAGCGCCCGTCGACCACTGATAATCCAGAAATTCTGACGGATGAACGACAAGACTCCTTCTACACCTTGGTGCATCCTTTCAACATGCATTTTCTCCAACAGCAACTCGGTCAGATGATGTTTGCCTAACAGGACTAGGTGCTTGGCTCCATACGCCAACTCGCTGTGCTGAAGTCGTCTCCCGGCTCTGAGCACTCCATGCTCATCCAGAAACGGTGCAAGCTGATACACCTTCGACCCAGGCTTCACTGGTTGACCTTGCTTGATCATATCAAAAAGTATTCTTTCTAGACCGAAGAGTGGTATATTTGATAAAATTTAATAACGATAGAAATTTTTACGATACTTCTCCAGACGTTTCGTTGTTCTGAACAACATCGTCAGTGGATAAAGTCTTTATCCACTGACGATGTTGTTCAGAACAACGAAACGTCTGGAGAAGTATCGTAAAAAAATTCTATCGTTATTAAATGTTATCAAATATACCACTCTTCGGTCTAGAAAGAATACTTTTTGATATTACAATGAGAGTGAATAATCAACGGCTTGTCCACCAACTCCTTGCTTGATCAGCTCAAGATCCTCAGCGAAACATGCAGCTTGAACGATGCGGTGCAATACGTTGTCTGCTGCAAAATAGAGTTCAGCACGAGGCTTAGTGTGCTTCCACTGCAACATCCAAGTCACCATGCCCTGTGCCCTCGACCATTTACTGAATAGGAGCCACCATTCCTTATCAGATTCTCGACCACAGGTGGTGGCTGACACTCGTACTTCTACACTGGACTCATCTGTAGCTGCGGTTGAGGATGCGGTGGGCCAGTCATTGGGCTCCGTGGTCCAGTTTGGTCCGCCGCTCCAGAACGGACTACGGATCTGCTGTGCACTGCTCCCACGCAACGGTAAATCTGCTGGGTTGTGAAGGCCCGGGCAATGGTTCCACACAATGCCGACCTTCTTCGATATCTCTTGGACTTGACTGACGCGGTTAGCCACAAATGTTTTCCATTTGTACGATGGATTACTGATCCAATGAACGGTGGTGAGACTGTCAGTCCAGCCATAGACTTGCGTGGCGGTCACACGCAGCTCCTTCACCACAAACTCAGCGTAGCGAGCCGCTAGACATACTGCTTGTAACTCTAACGGGCTTACGTGGGTGGAGACACGGGTGCCACTTTGGCCTTGGCAAATACCAAGTTCGACTGTCCATTGACGACTGCATACAAACAACATCCAAACGCTTTCTCACTGGCATCGGCGAAGGCATGAAGCGCAATCGGTGTGTCAAGATTGCAGCAAATCCAACGTGGTATGGCAATGCTCACCACTTCGGCCAACTCTACCCACCATTGCGCACATGCGGCTGCGATGCAATCAGGCAACTTATCATCCCAGTCCCCTCCGACTTTCCAGGCTCGCTGTAGCAGTATCTTTCCCGGCACTACTGCCGGTGCTGCTAGACCTAGCGGATCAAACACTGACGCAACACACTTGAGGAGGGATCGCCGGGTCCAAACAGACGGCCTATCGGACTCGCCTAGCGCTGCTTTG